AAGGGGCACAGTTTGATGAAGTGTAACGATGAAGTGTCACAACTTCCTGTTACTCACTGCTCACTTTTTTACGACATTGGATTTAACCAGGGGCTACTAGCAGGTTCCCTTGTCTGCGGAGTGTAAGGAAAAAATGGCCTTCTCCACTCCGTATTGGTTGTTCCTTGACCCTGTCACTTTCCAGCACCTCACGGACCAGGTGCTGCGCTTGCATATGTTGCCGCTTATTTGGATGACATCATCCTCAGTGACAACTGGGCGGAGCATGTGATGCAGGCATCTGCAGTCCTGGAATTCCTGGGGCGGGCGGGGCTCACGGCCAACCCGAAGAAGTGTGGGGTTGGACGGAAGGAGTTACAGTATTTGGGGTACCATTTGGGAACCTGGGAGGTGCATCCACAGATGCCTAAAACTGCAGCTGTCACATTCTGATTGCACTCCAAGTCCAAAAAACACATGAGTCGGTTCTTGAGACTGGCTGGTTACTACCCTGGTTCATGCCAGGCTTTGCAGACCTAACCAGCTCCTTGACTGATCTCACCCGTAACAGTGCCCCATATCTGATCCGATAGACAGAGCAGTGCCAGGCGGTGTTGTGGGGAACCCCTCCTCTATATGCGCCGACCGACACCTCGCACAGATGGCTGTTTTGTCCCAGCAGGTAAGGGGGGGTCGACCGACCAATTCCGCATGAAAATAATAAGAGCAGGAGGCCAGTGGAGAAAGATGAAGATGATGAAGAAACTTTTATTTATTTGTCACTTGCAGTTGCCTGCAAGAAAGAGTGCCTGGCCATCCGGTGGGCAGCCGATTCTCTTTGTTATTACCTCCTGATTCTAGACAGAATGTGCTGATTTTTTCTCACCTTTGTTGTGCATTTTTCTTACAACTTGATAGTGTTCATCCAGCTGTTTTACTATGCTAAGCCTACTAGAAAGGTGTAACTTCATGCTACTGTCCATATGGCTACAGCTAGTTTTGTGTGTTTTGCACTTTTCTGTTAAGTGCTTTAAGTGGTGCACACTCGAGGTGGTCCAAAATGTACCGATACCAGGACACAGCAGACCCAGAAAGAAAAAAAAAGAAGGCATTCCTCACCCATGTCTAATTAGTCAACTGCACTTGCCATATGGTGTGCTGGAGAAAGTTAGTATATATGCTCTCCAACAATTCATGGACTGCTGCTGAATAATTAATTTTCAATGGTCAGGTCCAAGCACTTTATTCTTTCATTTTTTTTTTTTTGATAAACAGCCTTAATATTGGATGTTGCCATAAATAAACAACTGAATTTAACTTTTCTATTACAACAGCACTTGAATTTGCTATCCTCAGTCAAGAGTGCCTTTTCTCTTTTGGAGGACAAGGGTGCCTTCAATGTGGCAATATGTAAATGGCATTGTACTATCCAATCAAATATGTAAATGAGGCATATTGTCCCTGCCGGTAGACTTGCCTTTTGTGTTCCTGTATGGTTTTTTGTGTTTTTTTCTCCTCTCCTCCCCTCCCTTCCCTGTGTCTATGTTTTGATACAGGACATTTAGGACCAGGAAGTTTGGGCACCGATTGCTATTCACCCTGGAAGTGCTCCCATGCTGGAGATTGCCCCATCTGATACCCATCAGCCACTGCCACGTGTAGCTGATTAGAGTCTTCAGGGGCGTCCCTTTTTATACTCGTTAGTATGGCCATGGCTGGCTTTTTGTAAACATCTTTTTTGTAATGATGTTTTTGATTTGTTTTCACTAAGAGTTGGGATCAGAGTGTTTCACGGGAGAGGAGCCAAAGCTGGGGATTGGAGTTTATTGTTACCATGATACATGCCACGCACACTTGCACTGTGAGTGATTCAGGAGGAATCACCTTGGGAGCCCCAGTGCATTGCATCCAGCACATTGTTTATTTATTGTTGTTTCATTTTCATTCATTTTCACTGTAAATAAACACACTGTCTTTTGAAGAGGTCAGCATTTGGGTCCTCTGCATACCTCAGACGTTACACATAATCCATGCCAATTTATTCAGTATGCACACAATTGCTCCCCGAGGGGCAAATTTTAAGCTCCAATTGAAAGACCGACTGATTGAAACTCAGCCTCAGGCCCCCAGGACTGAAAAACATTCAGTCTGTAGACTGTCAAGGCAAGGTTGGAAGAAAGCCAAACCCAAATGCCTCATTATTTGAAAGAACTTAACGCATAATTCATTACAGTTTGCTCCCAAAATGGATGGAGGCCTACACCATTAAGGAGGACGGAAGCCTCAAGATTGAACTTTACCACTATTCCACTATTCCCCACCCACAAGCACCAATTAATCATCACAGCCATGTTCTGTTCCTGCGGGTCAGCTTCGCTGTCTGTTCAGTGTTCTGCAACAAGTACGGGTGGTGGTACAAATACAGATACAAATACTGGCTGCTTTGCACATCTCTAGTGAACAGTGCATTTATTTACAGTGAAGTAAATGTAACACACAGTAAATCTCCAGTGCACTCCCTCAACTTCTGTGTC